AGAAAAAGATAAGGGACATTTAGTATTCTGCTCTTGAAAAGTTAAAAGTTCGTGTAAAACTTTTTTTATTTTTTTTTAAATCAGAGCTTATTTTTATTTTCTAAAAAAAATAATAATAATAACCCCATTTTTCTTTCAGGGCCTGGGAGATGGCTCAGTGAGTAAAGGTACCTGCTGCCAAGTCTAACAACCTGAATCTGATCACCAGGACCCACACGGCTGAAGGAGAAAACCAACTCCCACAGATCGTTCTCTGACCTCTAAACATACCCTGAGCATGCACTCACATGTGGGCACGCTCGCACACGTACAAACTAATTAAATACAAAAATGATTTTAATCCTGCTTTTAACTTTTAAAGATTTATTTTTATATGTATGAGTGTTTGCCTTCATGTGTGCAGGTGCACCGTCTATGTGCCTGGTGCCTACCAAGGCCAGAAGAGAACATCAAAGTCCCTGAGACCAGTTACAGATGGTTGGGAGCCACCATGTGGGTGCTAGGATTCGAACCCAGGTCCCCTCCAAGAGCAGCCAGTGCTCTTAACCACTGAGCCATCTCTCCAGCCTCACCCCATTAAAATTTAAAAATTTTAATCCCCACAATTTAATTTTAAAATGCTACAAACTCAATTATAATGGCTACGGTGAATGGCAACTCAGTAGACTAGCTTGAAAAGTGGTCCATGGATTTTACACAAGAACCAGGTGTGGTTGCACAGTCTACACAGTGATCTACACAGTGAGGTCCAGGACTGCCAGAGCTACAGAGAGAGCCCCTGTCTCAAAAAACAAAGCAAGCAAACAAAACAGATTTTACTCGGTTCCCTCACAGCACCACTCCCTAAGGTTAGAGCCTGCAAGGCTCTGGCTACTTTCCTGCTTCAGATCCTTTAACAATCTCTTCCACATCATTTGGGAAAAAATAAAAAGCTTATGACTCAGGACAGGGAAGGTACATCAGTGGTACAGTACTCACAGGGCATGTGTTCCAGGTGCCCCCAGTACTCCTATCCCCAAGAAAGCCAGCCTAGGAACCCCCACCTCAACATGTAATGTTCTATGCTTCCTAGTCAGGATGAACAATGTTTGTCCCTCTGATCATAACTTAGAACTCCTGTTACATCTAATTAAGTGATCATAATCACAATTATTGGCTGTCCTAATGATCACAAGCCTGTAAAGAATGCTACCAGAAACAAGGAAAAAGTATGCTCCTATCCCATCGAAGTTACACTTCCTACCCCAGTGGGAAGAGCTTCAGTAAAAACAGAAGCCCCTGATGACAGGCATGATGCTGGAGAGACAGCTCAGGAGTGAAGAGCATGTACTGCTCTTGTAGAGGACCCAGGTTTAATTCTCAGCACTATATCAGGGACCTAACAACCTCCTCTGGTCTCCACGGGCACATCGTGTACACAGACTCACACCCCCACACAAATACACACATACGCATAACTGAAAAAAATAAGTGCAGCCATCAGAATCTCCAGCATGTTAGGCACGTGCCTTACCATAGAGTGACAACCCAGGTCTTCTTTTGCTATTCTGACAGTCTCACTTAGTCGCCCAGGCTGGCCTGCTCTGGCAATCCTCTCACAGCCTCTTCTTAAAACATTTTAGAGGGGTTGGGGATTTAGCTCAATGGTAGAGCACTTGCCTAGCAGGCGCAAGGCCCTGGGTTCGATCCTCATCCCCCCCCCCCCCCCCCCCCCCGCCAAAAAAAAAAAAAACATTTTAGGAACTTTATTCAAGCATTAAAAATACCAGTTAAGCTGGGCATGATGGCACATGCCTTTAATCTCAACACTTGGAAGGCAGAGGCAGGCAGATCTCTGTGAACTCAAGGCCAGCAGCCTGAGCTACAGAGTGAATTTCAGGACAGCCAGAACTACACAGAGAAACCCTGTCTCAAAAAACAAAAACAATAAAAAAAAACAGTTGAATAATAATTAGTGTAACAGAAGTCAATTGTTTCCTCTGTACATACTACTTCTTACAGAGTTGTCTGCTAAAGGTGAACACTGGGTAAGATTTGCAAAATGTTCTATTTCCATGAAACTCTCATTTTTAGCAGGGTAACTTTATTATTAGGCTAAGAAAGCAAACTTAGCAGCATTTCTACTGACACATGGGTGTTGATTGTACAGATAACCTCAGCTAGAGATGCTCATCTCACAGCCAATAAAAATGAGTGCCAGAATTTAATTGCACACAGTCAAGATTTAAAGGTCTATAGTACCTAGCCAAAAACTGGGAGAAGTCCATGGAGTGTTCTCATGCAGTCAGCAAATAATCATGAAACCAATAAATGTCCAATATAAATTGAGTGGAGAGATAAAAGTAGATTTCCTGTTACTGGAAATTTATAATGGAGCCGGTCTTAGTAAATGAGTACACAATTCAACCCAAACACTTAATGACCAGAAAAGAGAGCCATGCAAGACAGTACTTAACCCTGCACTACATCGGACACAATCATCTCCAACCACACAGCAGCAGCCTGTGTGTGGGAGCTGCTGCTTCAAGTTTATCTGAACCAGGATGACCTTGCTTCATGCCCTCCCCTGGCCCTGTCACAGCCCAGAAAAGCCCCAACTGGCATCTCTGCCCTGCATATCCCTTCAACATCTGCTTCATGTAGTTGAGTGGCCTCTTCTCCTGGTCCCTGCTCCCCCAACAGACACACTAACCTGCCTCCAAAATTCCTACTCCAGCTTGTTGGTCTGAAGTGTTACACATTCTTCAAGACACTTTAGGAAGGTATTCCCTGATCCTTTCTTCCACCTTCCACACTTGACAAGGTTGGCCTGTGTTCTAGTCCTCAGAGCTCTAAGCCAGCACACACCATGTTAGAATTATATTGAAATATTTGTGTTATTTCTGTTTCTTTGTAGTGCTGGGGATAGAATCCAGGGCCTTGGTGCAAACTAGGCAAGCACTCTACACCTTAAAGCATTATTACTGTTCACCTCTGTGATTAAAAAAAAAAGATTTATTAATCTTTATGTATGAGTATTTGCTTGCATGCATGCACATGCACCATGTGTGTGTCAGGTGCCCTTGGAGGCCAGAGAAGGACATAAAATCCCAGGATCTGGACTTGCAGACAGTTATGAGCCACCATGTGGGTGCTGGGAACCAAACCAGGGTCCCTTGCAAGAGCAGCCAGACCCCTTAAGCACTGAGCCAAGTCTCTAGCCCAATTTTTGTTTTAAGCAAGTAAAAATCCAAATCCTGAATGCGTCTTAACTCCCTGATTAAGAATCAGTAAATCAACAGGTGGTGGAGTACACCTTTCATCCCGGCACTCGGGAGGCAGAGGCAGGCAGATCTCTGAGTTCAAAGCCAGCCTGATCTACAAAACAAGTTCAGGACAAGCTACAGAGAAACCCTGTTTTGAAAACCAAAACAAACCAATAAATCTTGGAGACTCTCTTGAGACGTCCACGCCCATGTCTTGAAGGTGTACTGTCCTTTTAAGTGTCTCTCCCTCTCCCTTAACACCTGTGCCTAAACCTGTAAGAAAACTGTTTCTTAACCAATTCCAACTTCATTTCATCAAAAACAAAAAGCAGGGCTGGGAAGACGGCTAGATCTGCAAAGCACTTGCCACACAAGCATGAGAGCCTGAATTCAGATCCCCATGTGTACACACACACACACACACACACACACACACACACACACACACACACAAGTACTTCGTCTGTAACCCCAGCACGAGGAGGCAGAGACTGGGAGATCTCTGTAGCTTGCTGGCCTGCTATGGGGTTCTAGCCAAACACAGCTCCAGGTTCACTGAAAGATCCCGGTCTCAAAAACCAAGGTTAGTAAAAACCTGAAGAAGATATCCAACCTCGGCTAGCCTCTGGCCTCTACAGTCACACACTGTGAACACACACACCAAAAGAAAAAGACAGAAAGCAGTGGCCCACACCGGCCATCCCAGTACTTGAGAGGCACAGGCAGGAAGATGGCTCCAAGTTCAGAGTCCTGTCTGGTCTACATATGGAATTCCAGGCCAGCCAGGGCTACATGAGACCCCGCTCC